CACACACACTGTGTCCCAGCGGACCCGGGGAGCTCTATGCTTATACACGCACACACAGTGTGTCCCAGCGGACCGGGGGAGCTCTCGGAGAACCCTGGACACAGCCTTTACGTCTCTGTCCTTTTAACAGTATTCCATGAGTCTTTACATCAGATGGTTCCTCAGGAACCCAGGCCAGTTAGTTCAAAGTAAGGCAGTTTGTGCGAGAAACAATTGCAGCCCAGCTGTTCTCCCCCCAGCATGCCCTGCCCCATAAACAGGGCAAAGGTCTGTGCACAGCTGCAGGCTGATGTCAGAGTTTGGGCTTGGTCTGCTGTTTGGACTACTGGAATAACAGCAGTAAACCACCCGCTCCCTCATCTGACCTGTTTCCTCCTTTTCCCCCTTCCCGTTCCCTCAGCTCTGTCCTCCCTTCACCTCGGGTGACTGTGGCCACAAACCTAAACACTTTGTGGCCTTCTTTGATTTTTTAAACAGAGGGAACAACCCTGTCAGCCTGCTAATGTGAGGGGATTTCCATATACCCTATTGATTTTCAAGTCTGATGCACCATAAGTGAATATTCAGACTGACAGTAGTTTGATCATAAGCAAAAATCTGTTGCCATCAAGTTGATTCCCACTTGTAGCAACCCTATAGGACAGAGTAAAACTGCCCCATAGGATTTCCAAGAAGCTGCTGGTGGATTCGAACTGCCAACCTTGCGGTTAGCAGCCAAATGCTTAACCACTGCACCACCAGGGCTCCTGATTATAAGCAGGTGTATTAAAATTAGGCAGGTGTAGCAGACTGTTAACTTCTGCATAGAAGCTCTTCTAGCCCAAAGTATGAAGATGGTCTCTTAGTTTATTACTTGGTAATTGGATTCACTTAAATGTTTCTGTCTCTGACTTAGGCGTTCAGATGGGCTAGGATCGTGTTATTACCTTTATTTTTTTGCTTTGTGGATATCTGAAATTCCAGGAGGAATATGTGAAAAGGCCGTGTGGGACTAAGATTTCTCTGTCTAGAAAGCTATCTGATGCTTTTATTGATTATTTGCAAAGTATTTTTGTATTGCCTACTTCCATATAAATCTCTAATGTGGAATTCATACAAGGAGCCTACAGAGAAAGTTCATGGCCCCATCATTTTACTTATATCCACCTACTCCTCACATATCGACTCTCTCCTTATCTGACATTTTACATTTGCAATAATAGTAAAAAAAATATACTATCCAGCTATTTTGCACCTTAACGATGTATGTCTGGCAGTAACCCTTTCATTACTAGTGGTACATATAGGGCCCACCTACATTTTCTGCCTCTCAGGTCCAGAGGAACATATGTGTCCCACATGATATTGAGTGATCTGATGTGGTTATTCTCTATTTTTGCATAATGCCTGTTTTCACATAACAACCTGATCTTTGGAACCTAACCATGTCAATAAGTGAGGAGTGGGTGTACATAGGAAAGTTCATTGGTGGAAGATGATGTTGCATTTACTCTTTTGACTAAGATTTCAATGCTTGAATCTTTTTTTTGTCTCCTTTGCTAAATAGTATCATAAAAGAAAAAAATGAATGTGAAGAGGGTATTTATGAACCTGGATGGCCATTTTGTCTTACTAAATTCTTTTGAAGAGAAAAAAATAACTTCCAATATTTAATCCCAAAGGACTGAGTTGTCAGTAATGTTCCACGTGATAGCCCCTATAATCTAGCCTCCATCTACCTTTTGGGTTTTATATTAGTCTGTAGGCACCCTGGGACATTGAAAACATGCATCTTCTTCACCGTTACAATAGCACTCAATGTACTTTTATTTAAAAATAGGTGAAGGAAAGCTTGAAATGTCCAAAGTCAGGCTTCTGAGAAATTATAGAGCTATTTAAAGATTAGTGCGGATATATGTACTTGCATGCGTATGTATACGTGTGTGCGCACGTGTGTATGCTCACTCCCTGTCATATTTTGGTAGTAATTATATTTTTGGTAGTGATGGTGAAGAGGTAGGATGCTCTGATTTTAAATTATGTTGACCAAATTATTTTGCCTCTTTAAACTATGTTAACCTTCCAGTATGTTCATATTATATTGTAGTGAAATACGTTTGTTTGTTTTTCTAAAATTTGGGTGCTCTGGTCATTCATGTTCAGTATATGCTAGTATTTTGTTTTGATTACTGTATTTTTTAAATAAATTGAAATCAGCTCAAATTAAGTACAAGCTTAAAGTCCATTTGTCTCTTTTCTCTGCCTTCTCTTTTCTGCTCCTTCTCTGTCCTTGGCTTTTCCCTGTACTGGTTGGCCCTGGGTAGAGTCACTTGTCCCTAGAAATGTCCCAGCCAGTTGGAGAGTCCCTCTCCTTATGGCCAGTACACTGACTGGTCACCACGCAGAAGGGTGACCTTCACTTAGGACCTCGCCTCTTCTCAAGTACTTCTCTTCTGCTTGCTCGTCAGTTACTTTCTTTTTCTTTCTGGCTGCGAGAGACCATTTCCTTTTGTCCCTTTTCCAGGTCACTTCTCTACTGTTAGGCTTACAAATCTGAGAACCGAGGCATCCCTGTGTTTATGCTTCCAGCTTCCTGTGCGTGTTAGGAATTCAGGATGCTGAACAAGTTAAATGCCCTCTCCCCTTCTCTTCTCCGTGTCTTTTCAGTCACTGCTTCGACCACCTGTGAGAAGTTAGAAAAAGCCAGGAATGAGTTACAAATAGCTTATGAAGGATTTGTCCAGAAGCTAAACCAGCAGCACCAGACTGATCTCACAGAATTAGAGAACCGGCTTAAAGAATTTTACACCGGGGAGTGTGAAAAGCTTCAGAACATTTATATTGAAGAAGCAGAGAAGTATAAAACCCAACTGCAAGAGCAGGTCTGTGCTTTTGGAACCTGAGCGTGTCATTGCTCCTGGCTGTTGACTTGCAGTCTGGCGGGTGCTCACATCCAATAATGGGTTTCTTTTTGTTTCGTTTTTATTGCTAAATAGGTAAAAAAGTTTTTTTTTTAATTAAACATTTTCTTATGATCAAAGTAGTATACATATGTTGAGTGAAAGAAAATTAAGAAGAACCCTTTATCCCACTACCCAGAGATCATCCCTCTGTGGAGCACCCTGGTGGTGTGTTATGTACATTTCTTCTTCTTTATTTTAATGGCACTTGCTTTATAACCCATTTTTTTCACATAAGAATATATCATAAATCTCTTTTTAATTTTCTTGCTCCCTTTTTAATTCCTGTTAAAAAAACAGCCTGTTGCCATCAAGTTGATTCTGGCTCATAGTGACCCTATAGGACAGGGAAGAACTGCCCAGTAGGGTTTCCATGGAGTGGCTGGTGGATTCAAACTGCTGACCTTTCGGTTATCAGTCAAGCTCTTAACCACTGCACCACCAGGACTCTTTAACTCAGTTACCCGTTTAGCAAACGTTTATGGAGGGTCTATTATAGGCCGCACGTGTGCTAGGGGCTAAGGCTATAGCAACGAGAATGAGAATGGCAGGCGTAGAACTTAAGTGGCGCTGTGTGGTCCTGTCACTGTGAAAACTATTTTCACTCCTGATGCTGGACTCACAGCTGTTGCTATCAGTGAACCCTGGCGAACTTGGGTGCTTATGTCACAAGAAGACTGGCAAATCCAAGCTGGATTGCTCTTTGCATGGGTTGGGTTGCCCTGAAACTTAAGTGCACATCTATATTCAGGGTCTCCCAGTGTTGCTACTTGAATATTCAAGTTAAGGCTTTTGGCTTTATTGGCACCCTGGTGGAGCAGTAGTTAAGAGCTCGGCTGCTAACCAAAAAGGCAGCAGTTCGAATCCACCAGCCACTCCTTGGAAACCCTACGGAGCAGTTCTACTCTGTCCTGCAGGGTCACTGTGAGTCGGAATCGACTCGATGACAACAGGGTTGGTTTTTTGTTTTTGGTTTAGTAAACTTTTGTTTTGTTTTTTCTTACAGTTTGACAACTTAAATGCTGCCCATGAAACGTCTAAGTTGGAAATTGAAGCTAGCCATTCGGAGAAAGTAGAATTGCTGAAGAAGGCATATGAATCCTCCCTGTCAGGCAAGGATGCCTTTTCTGTTAAAATAGAACAAGCGCTAATGTAACAGCAAGATACGTGATAAAAGGGAAATGATTCATAACCTTCCCCTCCAGAGATGTCGGTGTGACGTTCAGTTTGGAGCGTTCTTAGCCTCTTTTTGTATTGTTCATTGTTAATGGATGCCCTGCCCTTTAAGCATGCAATCAGAGTTTGTTGTAAATGCCAGCCTTTTAGGAAACAGAATGAACTTTGAAAGATACTTTTAAAGGCCCCGTTTGGTGATGGTGGTTGCTTTTTAGCAGCTTAGGGTCCTGGGAGGCTAAAGGGGTCACTCACGTCCTGGCCACGGTCATGTTGTTGTGCTGCCGTCCAGTCGATTCCGACTCATAGCGACCCTGTAGGACAGAGTAGAACGGCCCCATAGCGTTTCCAAGGAGCGCCTGGTGGATTCGAACTGCTGACCTTTTGGTTAGCAGCTGAGCTCTTAACCACTGCACCACCACGGCTCCAGCCACAGTCACAGATCCGTGCAAAGCACTCTTGCTCCCCAGCGCTCTGCACATACTTGGACATGCTGTGGATTGTAGACGGCGCTTGTTGAATAAAGAGTCTCTCCTTTTTATTATTCCGTCTGCCATGATTGGGAGGGTTGAGCTAGGGAAGAAGCAGCAGCTATCTCTTCCAGAACATTTCTTAGGGTAGCTCAGGTGTTCACACTCAGCTTGCTGCGTCCTGCAGAGAGACCGGAAATGCGGTGAGGAGTGGGCGCATGACCTTCGGCAAGGGCCTTTCCCATCAGAAAAGTAGAGTTTCTGCGTGAAGCCGGAGGCAATAGCATGCGAAGGTGACTGGCCCAGGGTAGACATCTGTAAATGTTGTTTGGTTCCTCCCTGCTAGAAACGGCTACAGGCTTCTGTGTGTTTCACGAAGAGTAAACTGAAATAGCAGAAGGAGCGCCCGACCTGGACGCTGAGGGTTAGGCTGGGAGGCCCCTGAGGTCACTTAGCCTCCGTGGGCCTCAGTGCTCTCAGCCATAAAATGGGAATATCAGCCCACCAGACAGGGCTGTTTGAAGGGACAGATGGCCTCGTTTATATAAAAGCATCATACAAATGTATAGTAACATATGTTGTTTTATAATCAATTCTTACATGATTCGCTTTAGAAACTGCAGAATAAAGTGATCTCATAGAATGTTATTGCCTCAAAAAAATATCACCTCTTTCCAGAAATCAAGAAGAGCCATGAGATGGAGAAGAAATCACTTGAGGGTTTGCTTCATGAGAAACAGGAGTCACTAGAGGTGGGTGAAGCCCAATACAAACAAAAAAAACATTCTTGATGTTTGCGTGTGTTGGGTATGGTTCTGTGCGCACTGGCTGTGTCTCCTTGCTAACTGACATTTCACAAATCACCGTTGTGTTTTAGAAACAAATCAGTGATCTGAAGAGTGAAAATGATACTTTAAATGAAAAGTGGAAATCGGAAGAAGAAAAACGAATATCAAGAGAGAAAGCAAATTTAGTAAGTTGTGTGTTCCTTCAGCACTGCTGGATTTTCCTTCTGCTCAGTTGCCTTCTAGAGTCAGTCACTCAAGTGTTCAGCAGCTGGAGAAATACCACCAGTTTGAAATCCTTTTCATGTCTTGCAATGCGCTTTTTAGGCGGTATCAAACAGCTGCTTTGTTTACTGGTGGCTTTTTTTGAATCCTAAAAACTGACATATAGTTGGAACCCAGAAAACCAAACCCATGGCCACCAAGTCAATTCTGACTCACAGCAACCTATAGGAGCCCTGGTAGCGCAGTGGTTAAGAGCCCAGTTGCTAACCAAAAGGTAGGCAGTTCGAATCCACCCCATAGGGTTTCCAAGGCTTTGACAGAAGCAGACTGACACATCTTTCTCCCACAGAGCGGCTGGGGGTTTGAACGGCCCAGCTTTTGGTTAGCAGCTGAGCTGCTTAACCACTGTGCCACCGCCAAGGCTCCTTACAAAGATGGAAGTCTGATATATTTTGAGTGGTCTAAGCTAATGCCTGCGGGAAGACAAGAATATTAATTAGGGCTAGGATTTTATGTGAAGGTTTTACTTATTTATCTACTTTTTAGAATAACTGCTTTAATGATGTAATTTACATGCCATAAAGTTCACCCATTTTACAATTCAGTGATTTTTAGTATATTCACAAAGTGGTGCGTGGACCGCCACCGTCTACTTCCAGAACATGTTTATGACCCCGAAAAGTAACTATACCCACTGGCAGTTGTTCCCCATTCCCCTCTTGCCCAGACCCCAGTCCACCATTAACCTACTTTCTGTCTCAGAATTTGCCCATTCTGGCCATTTCTCCTATAAAAGAAATGATGTGATACGTGGCCTTTTGCGTCTGGCTTCACGTTCTCAGTGTTCACCCGTGCTGTAGCATGAACCAGGACTGCATTTTTTTTTGTGGCATAATGATATTCCATTGTATGGATAAAGCCTTCACTTTTGGAAAGTACAAATTTCTCTTGTAAGCTTAACTTTCTCTTGCAACTTATATCCTTACTCGCCTGCCTTTTTTTTTGAGGAATTTTTTTTTTCTTGCTCCTTTTGCCTTTTAAGTCGCTATTTTCATTCCATATATTTGTGATCTGAAACTGTTGAAGCAAAGCTTTTTTTGCCACTTAAAATCTGTTGCCAGCTCATGAGGTACATGTGGGTCTCTCCATGGGCCCTTGGGTTGATAATCTCATTGGGAGACTCTGTAGACATTTTAACAAAATTAGATGAGGTCATATTCAGTGAATCTTCAAAGTTATGTATTCTGGAAGATTTGTAGAAAAAGTCAGTGGTTTCAGAAGAAATTTAGACTTACATGCGGGGCATAAACACTGTCATTTCCAAAAAGCCTGATAAATATCCTCTTTCCATTGCTATCAGTTACTGAATTTGGTTGGAGAAAACTGTTCCCTTTTCTGCTCCCCGACACCAGTAGAGGACTTCACAGATTGCCTGATCTCCAGCCGGAGGTTGGTTCTGTGTTGTAGCCAATGGTGTTTCTCTCATTTCTCAAAAAAAAAAAGTTTGATGGCTGCCAACATTTTTTTTTTCCATATTAAGTTACTGATAAATGAATGAAATGTTTTCATTTCATTCCTGTGACCCGTGTCTTTGAGGGTAAAATGATTGTAACCCTTCTTTTTCACCTTTTTCTTGGACACTGTGATAAGAAGGTGGAAGCTGCTAGCTACTTCAGAACGTGATTTGTCTGTATTATTTCTAAATACAATCAAAAGTCCTTTATATGAAGGATGTAGACTGTGTGAGTGTGTGTGTGAAACAATCAGTCGCAGAGATGTCCCGCCATGTCTCTTCCAGAAAAACCCTCAGATCACGTATCTGGAGCAAGAACTCGAAAGCCTGAAAGCTGTGTTGGAGATCAAGAATGAGAAGCTGCATCAGCAGGACATCAAGTTAATGAAAATGGAGAAGCTGGTGTGTTTCCTTCAGAATTGTGGGTTGAGGGTCCTATGAAGCCAGGTGGTATCTGTGAAGTAGTACCTGAGCTCAGAACTGGAACTGTGGGGTTGGGCTAGCTGCTGCTCAAGTCATACGGAAGTCATACGGAAGGGAAAGGAGGTTACATTTCTTTTCTAGGTTTGCTCAAGGCTGATTCATTGCTTAGATGTTCCTTATTTAACAAACATGTTAAACGTTGTGTATTACCTATTTAAGGAACATAGAAAGCAGATTTGGGTGCTTGGAAAAACTATAACAAATCAGCTTCATGGTTCAGTGGTCTGCAGATCCTCATCTGCTTAAGAAAAATTCTAAAATAATGTAAAATCGGTATTTTAATATATCACCAACTCTAGGCAGGCTTCTTATGTCCAAAATAGTTGGATACCTAAATTAATCCAATCGGAGCCGTTCAGTCTTGCTCTCTAAATTTTTTATCTTCTTATGAATTGTTGTCAGGTGTCATTGAGCTGATTCCAACTCACAGCAACCATGTGACAGTAGAACTGCCCTCTGGGGTTTGCTAGGCTGTAATCTTTATGGGAGCAGATGGCCACGTCTTTCTGCCACTCCTAAATTAGAATGTCATAAAAGCATTGTGCTCTAATAAAATGAATCCAGTTGGACAAATAGCAAGCATTATGAAAAATACGAGGAAATTTCAGTTTGCAGCCTCTAGGATAAAGAACTGATGTTGGTGTATGACAAGTCTCCCCAAACTATGTGTTTGAACGGCGTGCCTAGCATTCCGCATCAGTCTTGGCTCAGCCGTGGCACACAGCTCCTATCAGCCAAGCGTCTAACCAAGTTGGCGGGGTTGGAAAGGCAGCTTAAGTGGTCCCAGCCATTGCTGTACTTTGCTTTTGACTGTGCCAGCTGCCTAGCTCAATTTGCTCCCCCTCCAGTTATCAGCGGCTCACTGCTGAGTAAATGTCTCAGGTAAACCCAGACCATCCCTGGACAGCAGGGAGCATGGATCCCATTCTTTCTGTGTGTGTCTGCTTGGAATTTTTTTAGGGGTTACGGGGTGGTTTGTACATGTGGGTTGTTGTGGTTGTGTTTTCTTCTGGTGAGGGAGGTAAAGTCTAAGTAAAATCAAAACCAGACCCACTGCCATTGAGTTGATTCCAACTGGTAATGATCCCATGGGTTTCCGAAGCTGTAGTCACTTCGAAAGCAGACCGTCACATCTGTCTCTGAGAAGGCACTGGTGGTTTCGAACCACCAACCTTTTGGTCAGCATTCAGCCACTTTGAAGGCTAAGTGTCCATCTCAATACTTGGGCACTTAGAATTACAAGGAAATTCTGTTTTTTGAAAGGAAAGGAACTTGGATGTGGTTTGTTAATGGGCCCAGTGTGGTACTCAGGGCTTTCTGCCAAAGATCACTCCGTTGCGTCAAGCGTGATGGCTCTGCCATCTCGAAGTCGGTGATGACTCAGCTAACCCTGTTCATGGAGCCCTGGGGCGCAGTGGTTAAGAGCACATTATGTGGCCCATGTGCCATTCATGTATCAAAACTTAAAAAAGAACAACTCATGTGCACTAAACACGCTGCTGTAAAATTACCAACACATTCTAATTTTTGTTGATCCATCAAGTATTTCTGTTTCTTGCCATGCCCCAGAGGCGCCATGATAGTATCAGTCGGCATTAGTGTGTGGAAGAATGGCTTGACAAGATGACAGGTAAATCCACAGCTACGGTATGTAGTTGTAAGCTTCAAGCCGTTGTAGAAAAGAAGACCCTCAGAGAGCAGGGAGACTTTTTCTAAATAAGAAAGCTTTGGTCTGAAGTTCGTTTTGCCGTTGACTAGCTCCGTGACACCGCCCTGGCTGGTCACCGAGCTGCGTGACACCGCCCTGGCTGGTCAGCGAGCTCCGTGACACCGCCCTGGCTGGTCAGCGAGCTCCGTGACACCGCCCTGGCTGGTTTCCTCTTCTGTAAACTGAGGGGTTGCAGTAGGTAATTAGGGCCATTGACTGCCCAGATTCTGATTCCAGGTTTCCCTACCTTTGTTTTATCTTGAATTCCTCTATAATTACTGGAAATTCCAAAGTCCCTTTTTTCTCACATTCAGGTCCCATTTTCTGGAAAGTCATTTCACCAGCCTGGCTTATCCTGAGCATTTGTGGATAGTAGGATATCTTGAGAATGATAGGACTCCAGACTAAGAACTGTAAGCAAAGTAGATTAGTCACATGCTGCAGTGACGAGGGATTTAGAATTAATTCTGACAGAGCTATGATGTTGCCTCTTAAACAAGAAATAAAAATCTTACCTCTAGAAAATGAACTGGGACGTAATCAGCTCTTCATCACGTTAAGTGATTAAATGTCTTCAGGGATCTCGTCCTTCAATCGCTCAACTGATCAATTTGTTTTCCTTGAAAGCTTAGCCAGGGTGGGCCCGCAGAAGAGCACCCTGGTCTTTGAGTGAATTGAGGAGGGGGGCTTTCTGCAGTTACTTCTCTCATTTGATGCTCTACAGAGCTCTGTTCAGTTGTAGTTACTTCTCTCATTTGATGCTCTACAGAGCTCTGTTCAGTTGCTGGTTTGTGGGGGCCACTTGGAGGTAAATGCCAAAGGATAACGATGAAACCGTGTTTAAGGCCATAGTAAACATGGCCAAGAACTAAGAACTGTTGGCCTCTGAGGTTCTTGTCAAAGGTGGGAATTTTAGTTGCAGAAATTTACCATAAGACTATGTAGAACCCTTGTTTGGCTATGAACCGAAAGGTTGATGGTTTGAATCCACCCAGAGGCACTTCAGAAAAATCAGCCATGTCAACCCCACCGAGCACAGTTTTCCTCTGACACGCACAGAGTTGCCATGAGTTGGAGTCAACTCGACGGCAACTGGTTTTTGGGTTTTTGATAAATATCGGCTGTCTGAACTGCTCATTTTATTTGACTAACTTGAAGAGGGAAGCGGCGTGGCCCCCCGGATGGCTCAGGGTGACTCCCAAAAGAGTATGGCCTAGAACACACCAGTTACCCGCCAGTTGTCACGGCTTTCAGCTGGCCTGGTATACATCTTAAGTAACGTCTAGATACTATATTTACCTTCTCATTAATTAAATCTCTCCAGTGCATGAGTGTGTCAGGGACGTGCTGTAGGAAGTGAGGGACTTTGTTTTTTAGTGTTTTCTAAGTGTTGGAATTCTCATTTATGCCAAGGTGGACAACAACGCAGCCCTGGTGGACAGATTGAAGCGATTCCAGCAGGAGAACGAGGAGTTAAAAGCTCGGATGGACAAGCACATGGCAATTTCAAGGTACAAGTTGTCCTGTTCCTCCAAAGCTCCCCTGTTCCTTGAACATCCAGTGTAACTTTCTTAACCATATTCCACCCATGTACCTCCTGGAAATGTGATTGGAGGGGATGGTTAAGTGGGGCACTAATTTCTATCTGGAAAACATTGTTCCAGCACTTCATGGTTGTACCAAAGTGGCCTGAACCAAACACAGACCTAAGCAAGGAAGCCCTCGCCCTGGCCTCCTAGCTCTTGAGATTGCTTTCAGAAAAAGAGCAACACGAAACCAAACAGAAAACAGCCTCAAACGTTTAAGGAAGTCTTAAAACTTGAATAACATTCGTGGAAGTGTCACTCAGCCTACTACTGTCGAAAGTGCCAAAAAGTGAAGTTTTCCCCTGGCTCGAGCCCACGTTTCCAGGGTTCCTCAGCCAGTGAAACGCCTGTGACCCGTACCTCTGTGCATGAATCCATCTTGTTCCAAAGGGAGAGTCGTTTGGACTTCTAAACCTAAAATGGTAAGAAACTTTTTTCAGGTTAAATTTTAACCTACAGTCTGTTTGTTTTTGAGGCAACTGTCCACCGAGCAGGCCGTTCTACAGGAGTCTCTGGAGAAGGAGTCGAAAGTCAACAAGCGGCTGTCCATGGAGAACGAGGAACTGCTGTGGAAGCTGCACAACGGGGACCTGTGCAGCCCCAAGAGGTCCCCCACCTCCTCAGCCATCCCTTTTCAGTCGCCACGGAATTCTGGCTCCTTCCCCAGCCCCAGCGTCTCACCCAGATGACGCTCTCTGGATGCTGGGAGACTGCCTTGGGAGCATTCTGACACAGGTCTGCAGGACTGACCCTACCGGTGATGGGGGGAGCGAGAGCTACGTTAGCTGACGTGTAATTGTCGCTATAGAACTGGAAAGTAACCACCGCCGGAATGGGCTATTTACGAGACCAGAACTCTGGAGCAAGACTTGGCTCAGCCCAAGGGAGTCCTCCTCCAAAAAGGGTCTCGGAATTTACCTGCCTGGACGTTGTTGCACAAAGCACTTCAAGAA